GTTCGACATCAAAATGCCTTTTAAAGCGAGTCAACGATAACGTAATGCAACATTTGTAACGAAGTACATGTATATCGATAAATAGCTAGCGTATCGACAAGGTGGATATTTAATCTAGCAATTGGGAATATCTACAAATTTCCGAGCTAGCCAAACAACCAGGTCGCACGTTTGTATGCGAACGAATTTAATTCAACGTCACTCTTTATCACGTGACATCGTCGAAATTGCATGTCAGAAAGATTTACTGAATTCGAAGAACAGACACACACCGTACGATACGTTGTACACCTCTGTTTTGGAATAACGCGTATACAAGAGAAAGCCATAACGCGACGGAAATTGGAAACGCATAGTTACAATTTCAAACATCGATCCTCTCGTCCGTTTTTACACGGATCTTACACTGTCTTTCTCTTCGACTTGTACTTTGAAGAAACTGTCCGTGGAAACGAAACGAAAGAAGAAAAACGACAAACGAGAATTAGGGAAAAATCATAACACTGCCGTTTCCGTGTCAGAGAAATTAGATCTCGGAAGATGCAGTCCCGTTGCGTTTCATCGGGCGAATAGAGGCAGCTCGTTAGGAGCTGGGCCGCACACCTACCAAAAGTCCATTAATATGTGAGGGAGCAGCCCTACCTAAAAAGTGACTTAGCAACTCCAATGCATACTAAGCAACCCTTATGCTACTGGCTGCTGCTGGCTTCGTGTGCACTCCTCTTCCTCTAACTTTTCGCTCCTATCCACTACTATCGGCTCCCTCTAAGCTCATCTTTATAGGCCAGCAACAGCATATCCAAACCAGCCCTATACATTCCAACAACACGCATTTACTTGCACCTACAAACACACGTGCGGTTCTTTACAAACTATCATAACACGGCATTCACGCGTGCTCAGTACCACACAGAGTGGTCGATCGATAATAACAGAAATCATCAGCTTGTAATTACCAAATTTTAGATAGACGATTAACGTTTACTTTTTTTTTTTTTTTTTTTTTTTTTTTTTTTTTCTTTAACGTTTTCAGTTTGTACGAAGTGGAACCATCTCTGTATACAAGCGTGAACGCAAATTTCCTTTCACCATCACCATTCGCTGGATTTCCTTTCGCTTCCTCGCTCTTCTTTTCACTCTTTCATTCTTCTCCCCATCCAAACGTCCTTTCTCACGATATATGTGTAAATATGCGGTGAGATGTGCATGCATTTATAGTAAAACAATGCGTTGGCTTGAAAATGCATGGAAATTGAGAGCAGAGTTCCAACGCTGTTACATTCAAATATGACGATTATTCTTGGTTCAAATAAAACGAAACGAAATATGTGATAAAACAAAAAGGAAAATTTGGTTGTCTCTTTCCATTCATTCGAGCCAAGAAGAAGGCACCTCGATATCCGGGCTAAGATATAACTAGCACATGCTCACAGAATGCAAAAGGATGTCGAAGAAAGCGAGGTAATGATGGCTGGCTACGAAGAAGAAATGAATTCATGTTGGGAAAGTGATGGTTACCTGGTGCATAGGGTCGTAACCCATGGAGCCGTCGTTGTACGGTTGCGAACCATAGTCGCTACCATTTATGCCCATTCCATATCCGGCCATGTCTTGGGGCCCACCGGGCGGCGCCGGCGACATCATAGGCGTCGGGGTGCCTTGGCTAGCACCACCCATACTGTACGGCGACGCTCCTGCAAAAGCTGCTGTAGAAACAATCGCGGTGCATACAAAATTCGAGGGTGCGTCTTTTAAGTTCTTCCGCCTCACTGATTAACATTTCTCGTCATAAGAAAACGTGAGCTCGTTTCTAATTTTTTTCCCTTTCTGATCTCTCGTGTAATCGGTGGCGCCGTCCGATTCTTTCATTTCTCCCTCGAATTTCACCGATTCTTTAACACCGTGTATTAAAGATATGAAGCTTTCGACAATTAGTCCGACCGGGATAGGATTAATTATAATAAGACGCCACCGATTAATCAAACCGACAAATATATCGTTAAATCATCTTCGATATTCTCCATGGAACGACCGAATTGTATCAGGTGAAAGCAAATTGTTTTCAATGGAAGAAATTTTTCATTGTTTAAGTTACAACATAATAATATAAATTTTCGCACGGCAACGCCAAATAGCTTGAAAATTAGCTTAGTTACTTGACAGTGCAACAATACTAGGCAACTGTCACTTCGAGAACGCGAAAACATTTGCGCTATTTGAGACGAAGTACTGAGTTCCGCAGTGTTGGCGCCAGTATCGTTGGGAATTTCGTTTCTTTAATTACGAGAAGAAGACTGCGGTCCGTTTACTGGGAGCGTAGCTAAGGAAAGACAAACACACGAAGGAAGAAATGCGAGAACACCGGTATCTCATCACCCTCCCGTACTCGCGTATTCTTCTGCTCTCTTCTCATTTTTCCTCCTCTCTTTCTTCGTATAATTGGTAAGTTAAAAATATCTCGCCTTGCTCTCTAAAATAAGGAGACGTCTTGGTTACTAAGAGAAGTACACATAATTGCGACCAGCAAGTTGCGTGAATGCGAGGAATTTCCAGAGAAAACACCCTCGGAATTTTTCTTCTAATTTCCTTGAGAACGGAAGAATTCCATTAAGAATGCGCAAAAAGTAAATACGAGTGAACTGAGATAAACGTGCCGCTATTGAAGGAAATCGTCTGTCACGTTTGAAAATGATACGCAAAGAATGGATAATTTACGATCATTGAACAATCTCAGGTTCAGTGAATATTTTACGTACCAAAAAAAGCACAAAAAAAAAA